TGCTAAGTCGGCATGCTCCTCCCATGACTTAGCCATTTTGTATGCTCCGGGGCTTTTCCCTCCTTCAATAGAAGTGGACAAAGTGTGAGGTGTTAGTGGTTGTTGTCCTGTCGCCAACTCGAATGGACTCCGCCCCGTGGCTTCACTCCTTTGTAAATTGTAGGAAAATTGTGCAATATTTAGGAGCTTGGCCCAATCTCTCTGATTGGCACTTACAAAGTGCCGGAGATGGCACTTCAACAAAGCACTCACCCTTTCTGTTTGTCCATCCGTCTGAGGGTGAAAGCTTGTAGAGAAGTGTAGGTCCGAGCCTAGGAGTTTGAACAACTCCGTCCATAGCCGACCCGTGAATCGGGGATCACGATCACTTATTATGCTCCGCGGTAACCCCCAATACTTCACAACATTCTTGAAGAATAGCCTTGCTGCTTCCTCCGCTGTGCAATCCTTGGTGACAGGAATGAAGGTGCCATACTTAGAGAATCGATCAACCACCACCATTATTGACCCGAACCCTTCGGATTTAGGCAGGGCACTAATGAAGTCCATGGTGATAGAGTCCCATGGACGCTCCGGGACTGGTAGAGGCTCCAACAAACCCCCTGGGGACCTTGTTTTCACCTTGTCTTGTTGGCACACAAGACAAGTCTTTACATAGAGCTCCACCATGTCTTTCATTTGCGGCCAATAGTAAGCTCGTTCAAGTAGTGCCAATGTGCGTTTCTGCCCTGGATGACCAGCCCACTTTGTGTCATGGCACTCCTTGATGATATCTCGCCGCAATTTGTTCCATTTAGGAACATAGATACGCTACCCCGTAGTGTAGAGTAAGCCGTCCTCGACCCAAAACCGTCGCGTCTTTCCTTCTTGGGCAGCTTTTACCAACTCCTTAGCCAAGGGATCATGATCCATGCCTTCCCGAATCAAATCAAGCAACGTCCCTTTGGCTTGGCTTATGGCTGCAAGCTCCGCCTTCCTGCTTAACGCATCGGCTACAACATTCGCCTTCCCCGGCTTGTATTCCATCACATAGTCAAACTCCGCTAAGAAATCTTGCCAACGTGCTTGCTTGGGAGTCAGCTTCTTTTGTGATTGGAAATAACTAGTAGCGACATTATCCGTCTTGATGATGAATTTTGAGCCCAACAAGTAATGACGCCACACTCGTAGGCAATGAACAATAGCC